TCTTGTAGACCAGGCTGGCCTCGAACTCACAGAGATCCGCCTGCCTCTGCCTCCCGAGTGCTGGGATTAAAGGCGTGCGCCACCACCACCCGGCCTCACTATTCTTTTTTAAGAAAAAATTTTTAGATTTATTCATTTACATGTAAGTTTGTATGTGTTTGTGTGTGTGTGTGTGTATGCACACATATTGGTGTGTGTGTGTATACTGAAGCAAGACGAGGGTTTCAGGTCATCCTCTATCTCTCTCTGCTTTTTCTTTTGAGGCAAGGTCTCTTTCGGATTTTAGGGCTCATGTTTTTCTTGGCTAGGCTGAAGCCGGTGAGCTCTGGGAATCCTCCTGTTTCCACCCAATTTAGAACTAGGGTGACAGGCATAGGCCACACGCCTGGGCTCATTACATATGTGTTGGGATGCAAACACAGGTCCTCAAGATTGTGTACTCAGAAGATACTCTTTACTACTGAGCCATCTCTCCAGCCCTGTCTCATTACTCTGAAGAACAATGTTGTAACTGTTTCTCTTTTACTTATTTTATTATTATTATTATTATTTTGTTTTTTGAGACAGGATTTTTCTGTGTAACAGTCCTGGCTGTTCTAGAACTCGCTTTGTAGATTAGGGTGACCTCAAACTCACTAAGATCTGCCTGCCTCTTCCTCCCAAGTGCTGGGATTAATGGCATGTACCACCACTGCCCAGCCCTGTTCTTTTATGAGAGCATTTGGTCTTTACTATATATAAAGGGTAGACAAAAGGAGGGAAACTGAAAGAAGAAAATAAAAAAGTACTTTAATCTCATTACCTAGCTGTTACCATTACCAGAATTCTGGGAAATACTGTTTTTACTTTCTATGGAAATGAACTTATATAATACATAGTTTTATAACCTTTAAATAACTTATGTACAGAAGCAATGTGGCTTACTACAGAAAAATTTAAATGTAACTAAGTGAGAAAAAGAAAAGCTCTGGGCAGATGGCTCATTTAGTAATGTGCTTGCTGTGCAAATGAGTTTGGGTCCCCAGCACCTATGTAAAAGCTGGGGACAGCAGCTTGGGTTGGTGGTGCATGTCTTTAATCCTACACTTGGGAGGCAGAGTCAGGTGGGTCTCTGTGAGTTCAATACTGTCCTGGTCTACAGGACAACCAAGACTACACAGAGAAACCCTGTCTCTGGAGGGGAAAAAGCTGAGGGCAGCAGTAGTTTGAGCTGTAATCTCAGCATCACGAGACAGAAAGAAAGAAAGGGATCCTCAGGGCTCTCTGGCCAGCCAGTCTAGCCAAATTGGTGAGCTTTAGGTTCATAGAGAAACCCTGTTTCAAAAAATAAGTTAGAGCGATTGAGGAAGACAACTGATACTGAATTCCAGCCTTCACACACATGCTTGTGTACCCCCACACACGTATACACACACATTAAAAAAAGAAAAAAGTAAGAAGAAAAACACAGGAAACCCTAGCATCTAGAGAATACTGTTTATGTGTGTGACTGTGAGCATGTGTGTGTGTGAGTGCATAAGCACGTTTCTCTCTCCCTCTGTGTGAGTGTGCATGCATGTGTGTGTGTGTGTGTGTGTGTGTGTGTGTGTGTGTATGTATGGTTTTTAAGCCATCCCAGGCTGGCCTGATACTCAAGATCTTCCTGCCCCTGCTTCCCCAAACACTCTGATATATTTGATTACAGTTTCGGGTCACAAAGAAAGAGGAAACTGAGAACATTTCCGTGTGCTCGCTCCATTATCCACTGGAATCCCCGTTCCCCTCTTATTAACATGCCTTAATGTGGCACATTTGTTACAGGTGGTGAGCAGTGTTCAAACACTGTTATTAACCTAAGTCCATAGTTTACATGGTTGCATTAGTTTTCCTGATATGTAGTTTGGATAAATTTATAATACCATGCATCTGCCACAGATTAAATTTTTTTATTTTATTACTGTGTGGGCGTGTATGCTTGTGTTGGTGTGGGCATACACATGCCATAGCATGGATGTGGAGGTCAGAGGACAATTTTCAGAAGTCAGTTCTTTTCTTTAACCATGTGGGCTCTGGGATGGAACTCAACTTGGCACGTGATGGCCCATAGATTTTTTTTTTCTTTTTAAGGTTTGAGGTTAGGAGTGCAGCTCAGTGGCAGAACAGTCACATAGCACCGCAGAAAGACTCCCCCACAAAAGCATTTTTCAGCTGTCTAACAATTTCATCCACAGCACCCCAACTTTTCCCTTTTTCACGGGCCATCTCGTGGCTGGAGTGGGCACTGTGTCCCATACAGAAGAAAATCTCATTTGTTTTCTTGGTTCATTATTTCCCCTTTTTTTTCCTCCTTCAAAAGGATCGGGCTCAAGTTCACTACAGAACACAAAGCATGATGTCTTGCTGCAGACCCTAAAATCTAACCTGTCTGTGCTGGAGGCCAGGTTTCTGAAGGATGCTCAGTGGAAGAAGCTGAAAGTCCTAAGAGACGAAACTGCTGGTAAGGCCAAGTGGCTGCAGAGCTCCGAAGATATCACCTGGAGTTTCACCTCTCAGACTTTGCTGCTGCTGCTGTGTTTGAAGGAAACCATGACCCGCCTTGTAGCTGATTTTAGTCCAGGAACACCCAACCCCAAGACTCCCGAAGCTGCTCCTGCCCTCAGCCCGGATACACTAAGCGTCTCCCAACAGAAGACCGTCCAGTCGGTTCTGCAGTTTGTAGTCACCTTGGGTGTCTGCCCCTACCTCCTGCCTGGTGTGGGAGTCCCTCTGAAACACAGGACTGAGTTTGGAGCTGTTGTTCAAGATGTAGTACGTCTAGAGGCTGCCCCCCATGCCACCCGGAGACTGTACACCTGCTGCAGGGTCCTCCTGGATCTGGCTCAGCATGCATCTCTGGGGAGCCTGATTTTCTGCCGCCATTTTGGGGATATTGCAGCAGGTCTGTGCCAGCTGGGGTTCTGCCCAACCAAAAGAAAACCACCAGCCCCCGTGGAAGAGGTAAATGTACAGAGAGAACTATGACCGATAGCGTGTGTGCTTGCGTAAGAGCTGAATACATTTCTTAGTTGTTTAGAACGTGCTGATTGAAGGAGCTAGAATCCCTGCCTCCCTCCTCCTCCTCCTGGTTTTTGAGACAGGGTTTCTCTGTGTAGCTCTGGCTGTCTTGGAACTCACTCTGTAGACCTCAAACTCAGAGACCCACCTACCTCTGCCTTCCAAATGCTGGGATTAAAGGTGTGCACCACCTTGCCCACTAAGATCTAGAATTTCTATCTAATGCTGAAGCACAGTCCACTGTGGGCTGCATCATCACTGGGCAGGTGGTCCTGGACTGTAAACAAAAGCTAGCTGAGCAGAGAACCAGAGAGCTAGCCAGTAAACACGTTCCTCCATGATTTCTGCTTTAGTTCCTGCCCTGACTTCCCTCAGTGATGAACAGTGACTTGGAAATGTTAGCCTTAGAATAAGCTCTTTCCACCCCAGCTTGGTTTTGGTCAGTGTTTTATCAAATTAACAGAAAACAAACTAGAATAGACATGGATAACATACAATAATTGAGGAGATAAGATTTACAAATAGGAAACCATTGTGTCTTCACTTAGTGGACCAGTCTCAGGGGCTAGCCAGAGAAACCGCCATTAAAATATAAATGGGTCAAGGTCACACGGGTGAGCAAATGCCCTAGTGCTGCCTCACTACGCTGTCGCTTCTCTCACCTGCTGGGGTCACGCTTGTGCTTCTTCCTTGGTATTCATCACAGCTGTAGTAACCCTAACACACCATTTCCCTTGTATTTACCTAAAAGCCACTATGTCCAAGCAGTGTCACTAAACAGTGTCCAAACAAGAACACCTGCTTTTTACTTCAGGGTAAAGCACTGGCAGAACCAGCAGTGCCTATAGCCTGCGGTCGGCATCTCTTCACTGTTTTTGAGGCCCTTCAGTGTCCCAAGGGTCTCTGGCAAGATGGAGAAAAAGGGCAAACATACTGAAAGAACACAGTATGAAGGCTGGCTCAGGAGTTGTGAAGCTGCTCTGTGTAGCACCCACATCTCGGTGTGCTACATGGTAATTAGCAGGCAGGACCCTGATGGACTGTGAGTGGCAATCACCTAAGGGGATGGTACTGTTGGCATTAGAAGTACCCAAAGCGACCTTCATCCCTCTTTGATAGTTAAGTTCTGAATGCAAGAAAAAAAAAAAAAACAGTTACCAGAGTAAGAGATGAAAAGTCAAAATATGGGGGTTGCAAGATGGCTCATCGGGTAGAGTTGTTTACCATGTATACCAGGTGACCTGAGTTTAATCCCCAGAACCCACATAAAGGTGCAGGGAGAGAACCAATTCCACAGTGAAGTAAAAATATCACTACTGTTGTTCATAAACACAAAGGTGGAGATCTCTCTCTCCCTCTCTCTCTCCCCCCCTCTCCCTCTCTCCCTCTCCCCCTCCTGAGCCCTGGGATCAAAGGTGTGTACCACCAACTGGCTACTTGTGCCGGTGTGGAGAGATCTTTTAAACAAAGATGGAGCTCTATCAGTGCAGTCCAGTTAGACAGACTTACTGCTCATGCAGTCTCAGGAGCCCTGGAAAACTGGCACCATCTGCCCTGTGGCAGGGGGGTACACTGCTCTGTCTCACTCCCATGGAGAGAAGAGAGAGGAGCAGCAAGCAGGTGCACTCCACAGTTGCAGCAGGTAAGCACACCCCCTGCCCAGAACAGAGCAGCTGAGAGATGGAGAGTGGACCTGAAGTGTTGCTGAGCACAGCCTCCTCAGTGCAGAAGGGACTAAGAGGGAACACCTTCCCCCTGTCCCCTCTTGAGTTTTAGTAAACCTTACCTTCTGTTTTCTGCCTGGTCTGTATTTCACTAAAGCCAAGTGCACATGTCTTTTAGGTTTTAACGGAAGAGGAAAGAGTCCTATCGAGGGGAGCCTTGAGAGACATCTTGGATCAAGTCTACCAACCATTAGCTGTCCGGGAATTACTTATTCTCCAGGGAGGACCACCCCAGGTATTCAGGCCTCAGACTTGGTGGGAGCTGATGTGTCTTCTTTGCCTGGAAAGTTAGCTGACTTTAGTTTCCTATAAAATCATCTAGTTGAGCCTTACTTCTTTAATAATGATTTTTATTATTTTTTAGATAGAGTTTCACTATGTAACCCTGATTGGCCTGGAACTCTCACAAAGGTCTGCCTACCTTTGCTTACCAAGTGGTAGGATTAGAGAGGCATATACCACCATACAAGGCCTATATTTTGCATTTTATTTTATTTGTATGGGTATTTTGCCTGCATGCTAGTGCCCATGGAGGCCAGAAGAGGGTGTCAGATCTCCTGCAGTTAAACTGGTTAAAGGTGGTTGTGAATGGCCATGTGGGTGCTAGGAATCAAACCTGTGTCATTTGGAACAGCAGCCAGTGCTCTGAACTGCTGAGCCATCTCTCCAGACCCCTTGCAGTGTAATCCAGGCTGCTCTAGAATTCATACTGCTTCAGCCTCCTAAAGTAGAGATTGCAGCCATAAGCAACTATGCCCCTCTCTTATTTTAGCTTTTAGATAATTAAGTGGTATTTATAAAATAAAGTGTCATTAACTTTCAGGATAATTTAAAAGACCTTTTGTTAATGGAATGGTGGATACTTTCCCAAGATCATGTTTACTTTTTAAAGGCTATGACAATTTAATGTGAGCACGCACACAGAGATATAGTGCCATACACACACACATTTCCCAAGACAGGGTTTCTCTGTAGCTTTGGAGCTTGTCCTGGAACTCCCTTTGAAGACCAGGCTGGCCTCAAACTCACAGAGATCTGCCTGCCTCTGCCTCCCAAGTGCTGGCATTAAAGGTGTGCACCACCACCACCTGCCATCACATATATTTTTTGTTTTGTTTTTGAGACAGGGTCTTCTGTGTAGCCCAGGCTAGTTTGAATTTGTGTTCTTCCTGTCTTCTAGCTTCTGAGTGCTAGATTCTAAGTGTGCATACTATGAATGCCTCATAAAAAATATAAACATAGCCGGGCAGTAGTTGCGCACGCCTTTAATCCCAGCACTAGGGAGGCAGAGGCAGACGGATCTCTGTGAGTTCGAGGCCAGCCTGGTCTACAAGAGCTAGTTCCAGGACAGGCTCCAAAGCCACAGAGAAACCCTGTCTAGGAAAAATAAATAAATAAATAAATAAATAAATAAATAAATAAATAAATAAATAAAATATTTATTTTATTTGAGGAGTGTGAATGTTTTGCCTGCATGTGCACCATGTGCACAAGGTCAGAAAAGGGTCTTAGATTTCCTGGGACTGGAGTTGTAGATAGTTATGAGCCAGCATGCAGATGCTGGGAATTGAACCCAGGTCCCCTGCTAAGAGCAACTAATGTTCCTAGCCATTGAACTACCTTTCCAGCCTATATATTTGTTTTGAGACAGAGTCTCACTCTACAGTTCAAGCTGGTTACTCACTATGTGGCACAGGCTCTCCTCTTGCCTCAGCATCCTAAGTACCAGGAGCCACTCTGCCTAGCTTTGGGTCTTTTTAATTTGTGATGCTGGAGATGGAACCCAGGACCTTATACATGTTAGGTAAGCAGTCTATGCTGGGTAGTGGTGGTGGCACACCTTTAATCCCAGCACTTTGGCAGATCTCTGAGTTTGAGACCAGCCTGGTCTATAGAACAAGCGACAGGACAGCAAGGGCTATGCAGAGAAACCCTGTCTTAAAATATTCAAAATCAGTCTACCACTGAGTTGTATCTTCAGCCTCTGTATTAATTTTCTAAAATTATTAGTGTTGAGGAGGATGTACATGCCAGATCATGGATGCCACATGTATGTGGAGGGAGGTCAGTACTCTCTTACCATATGTGTTTAGGGAATCAAACAGGTCATTAGACCTGGGTGGCAAGTGCCTTTATCCATTAGCCATCCTTCTGTTCTCTAGATTTTTGTTTTTAAACTAACAATTGGCTACTGGACATTTTTTTTTTTTTTGCTTGTTTTCTTGTTTTTCAAGACGGTTTCTCTGTGTCTCTTTATTGCCTGCCTGGAACTAGCTCTTGTAGACCAGGCTGGCTTCGAACTCACAGCAATCCTCCTGCCCTTGCCTCCCTAGTGCTGAGATTAAAGGCGTGTGCCTCCACCACCCGGCTGGACAATTTTTTTTTTTTTTTTTTTTTGGTTTTTCGAGACAGGGTTTCTCTGTGGCTTTGGAGCCTGTCCTGGCACTAGCTCTGTAGACCAGGCTGGTCTCGAACTCACAGAGATCCGCCTGCCTCTGCCTCCCGAGTGCTGGGATTAAAGGCGTGCGCCACCATCGCCCGGCGACAATGTATTTTTTTGACAGAAGTATTTGGGCTTCTTTTGTTTTGAATGAAATAATCTGAGCTGAAGAAATTTAAATTAGAGCTATTACTATTTCTAGTCTCATTCTAAATATATTGTTGGCATAAAGATAGCTTTTTTTTTTCTTTTGAGAGAGAGTTTTGCTAACTTACCGGGCTGGTCTTAAATCAGGTCTGTAGCCCAGATAGGCTTTGATCTTGGGAATCCTCCTGCTTCAGCTTCCCAAGTATCTAGGATTATAGGCCTACACTATTAGGCCAGTTTAATATATTTTTCTCTCAAAAGTAATAATTGGAAAGAGTGGGCACGGTGGGCATGATGGTGCATGCTTTTAATTCCAGCACTTAAGGCTCTCTTGTGAGTTTAAGGACAGTCTGGTCTACAAAGTGAATTCCAGGCCATCAAGGGCTACGTAGAGAAACTTTGTCTCAAGGGAAAAGAAATTTTGGTGGTGGACACCTTTAATCCCAGCACTTTGGAGGCAGAGACAGGCAGAGCTCTGTGAAATTGAGAGCCTCTTGGTCTATCTGCTAAGTTCCAGGTCAGCCAGGGGTATTTAGTGAGTCTTTGTTTTTAAAACTGCAAAAATATGATTGGGACTAGAGAGATGGCTTATCAGTTAAGAAGAAATGCTGCTGAATCATGGGGATCCAAGTTTGGATCCCAGGGCCCATATCAGGCAGCTCACAAATGCCTGTAACTCTAGTTCTAAGGGATATGTGTGTGTGTGTGTGTGTGTGTGTGAGAGAGAGAGAGAGAGAGAGAGAGAGAGAGAGAGAGAGAGAGAGAGAATAAACAAATCAAAAATGTAATGCTGAAGAAGGTTTTGTAGAAGAGAAAGTTCTTGCTTATATTGAAAAGAAACTGACAGACTGGGGAGGGCTTGTCTACTGTGCACAAGGCCCTGGGATCATTTACTAGAACTGAATGGAGAGAGGGTAGGGGGAGTATTGTGCTCTCTCTCTCTCTCTCTCTCTCTCTCTCTCTCTCTCTCTCTCTCTCTCTCTCTGGGTGTGATCAAACTTAGGTCCTTGCACATATTAAACATATGATCCACCACTGAGCTACTTCTCCAACACAAAAATAAAAAAATGGTGTCTTCATACTGTGTATGTTTCACTGATGCTCGGCTTATAGCTCTTCCTCCCCTTTTCTCAGTCCTGTACAGATGTGAAGACACAGCTTAGGTGTCAGGCCCCAGCCTGGCTCCGGCGTCTGTGCGGGCAGCTGCTTTCTGAAAGGTTGATGAGACCCAACGGCGTTCAGGCAGTAGTCCGGGGCATTTTGGAAGGAGCAGGTGGTAAGAAATAATATATTTCTGTTACTGTGGTATCTGTTTCCCTTTGAGTCAGAGGTGAATCGTTGCCTTTGCCTTAAGTCTCATTGTGTGAAGGTGTAGCTCGACCTACTCCTTGTACCTAGCATGTGGCAGGCACTGAGCGCAGCCCTAGTAGATTCTGCTGAACGACATGTAGAATGAAGGACTGCTGTAAGGATACTAGGTCCCCAAGTCAGGTGTCTTGTTGGTACATGCTATGACCTCAGCACTCAGGAGTACTGAGACAAAGGTCCTGAAGAGATAGCTCAGTGGTTAAAAGCACTGGCTGTTCTTGTCCAGAAAGAACCTAGGTTCAGCTCCTAGCACCCTCATGGTGGCTCACAACCATCCGTAACTCCAGTTCCAGAGGCTCTGATGCCCTCTTTTAGCCTCTTCAGTGTATATACATCATGCAAGCAAAACAATCAAACAAATGATAGAACATAAATAAATCTTTGAAAAAACAAACTTCAATCCATATTTCCTTCTGCTTCAACTTCAAAAAAAATTGCTTCAAGCCATTTGTGGTGGCCCACAGCTTTAATCCTCACACTCGGGAGGCAGAGGCAGGCGGATCTCTGTAAGTTTGAAGCCAGCCTCGTCTACAAGAGCTAGTTTTAAGACAGGCCCCAAAACTTCTGAGAAACCCTGTCTCAAAAAATCAAAAACCAAACCAAACTAACCAACCAACTAAACAAAAAAACAAAAAATTGTTTCTTAAAAGGTCTATTAGCAATGAATTCTTTTTTTTTTCTATGTAGCCCTAGCTGGCCTGGAACTCTTTATGTAGACCAGACTAGCCTTAAATTTGTGACATATCTTACTACACCTTGGCTTTTTTTCCTTTAGAGACAGAGTTTTGCATAAACCTGACTACCCTAAAACTTACTTTATAGATCAGTTTGGTCTCAAGCTTGCCTTAGTCCTGTCTTAACTTCCCAAGGAGAGATTGCAGACATGCACCAACACACCCAGCTCAAATTTAGTTTCAGTAGGTGTTCGAAGAGATTAAGAGAGAGTAATGGGAACATTTTGATCAAAGAATATTTTATATATTTGTGAAATTATAAAATAATAAATAAAATATTAAAAAGAGTGTTTCCAGTAGAGAAAAAGAAGCATTTCTTTTTTTTTTAAGTTATAAATTGATTGGCCTAGTAGCTCAGACTTCTTATTAACTCTTATAATTTATATTAGCCCATTGTTCTTGTCTATGTTAGCCACGTGGCTCGGTACCTTATTCAGCGAGGCAGTCACATCTTGAAGCATTTCTTATCCCAAGCAGACTTATCACATACACTTTATATGGGGACTGCGGTGAGCATGTCTCTTTCCGTGTGACAGCAGGCTCTATGTGGGGACGGCTGTGAGCATGTGTCTCTTTCTGTGTGACAGCGGGTGCTGCTGGTGGGAGTGATGCCGAGGCCACAGCTGCTGACTGGAAGAAATGTGACTTGATTGCAAAGATTCTGGCCTCTTGTCCCCAGCAGTCTCTGTCCCCAGAGAGCTACTACAAGGACATCTGCCCGCAGGTAAATTGTCTGTTTCTGTTGATCCATCAAGTATTGTCTGCTAATTCACATAGTGGATATTCTAAAAGTAAAGGAAGAGTGATATAGTATTTCATTTGACTGTTTAGTGAGTGACTCTCATATTATGGTTTGTTTGAGACAGGGTTGCTGCAGTTCAGACTGGCCCAGAACTCAATATACAACCCAGGCTGGCAGTGATTCTCCTGCCTTAGCCTCCCTAAGTGCTAGGGTTACAGTTGTGAGCTGCTGTGCCTGGTGGGGACCACCAGCACCTCCTCTTCCTACACACACACGCGCACCCACCCATGCCCATCCTGTCCTCTAGAGTTACAGGTATTTGCTGGTTTGTTGTCAGCTTAACACAAACCAGCATCACCTGAGAAGGGGAAGCCTCAACCTAAGAATTGCCTCCATCAGGCTGGCCTGGGGGCATATCCATGGGGTTTTTTCTTAATTAATGATTGTTGTAGAAGGGCCCATCTCACTGTGGGTGGTGCTACCCCTGAGTAGGTGGTCTTCAGTTGTATAAGAAAGCAGGTTAGGCCATGATTTCTGTTTCAGTTCCTGACTTGACTGCATCACCTGTGAACTATAAAGAAACCCTTTCCTGCATATGCCTTTAATCCCAGAACTAGGGAGGCAGAGGCAGGTGGATCTCTGTGAGTTCGAGGCCAACTTGGTCTACAAGAGCTAGTTCATGGACAGGTTCCAGTGCTACAGAAGAACCCTGTCTTGAAAAAAACAAAGAAAAAACAAACCAAACAAAAACAAACCAAAAAACCCTTTCCTTCCACAAGTTGCTCTTGGTCAGAGTCTTATTATAGCAACAATAAAACGAACTAGAGAACCAGGTGATGGTGGCGTACACCTTTAATCCCAGCACTTGGGAGGCAGAGGATCTCTGTGAAACTCAGAGAAACCCTGTCTTGAAAAACAAAACAAAACAAACAACCCCCCCAAAAAACCCAAAAACACAAAAAAAACCCAAACTAGAACATCTTATTCAGTGGTTAAGAATATTGGTTGCTCTTCCATGGAACCCAGGTTTAATTTTCAGCACCCACATAGGAACCAGCCTTTCAGAAGTCCAGTCCCAGAAGATCCGAGCTCCTCCTGGCCTCTATGGCACAGCATGTATGTGGTACATAGACACACGTGCACATAAAATACCCATACACATTCTAAAAATTATAAATACCTCTTTCTCTTATTTGCTGCTGATTTTTATTGTAGATTCTGGACTTATTCCATTTTCAAGATAAATTGACAGCACGGCAGTTTCAGAGAGTGGCCACGACCACCTTCATCACTATGTCGAGGGAACACCCAGAGCTGGCTCCCAAGTATTTGCTTCAGCCCATGCTAGCTCCTCTGCATCGATGCTTGACCACAACAGGTAAGGGGGGTGCTGGGGTAACCCTTCCTACAGTTTAAACTTAAAGGGCTTAAGTCTGGGGTCTTTCAGTCCTCAGTTTTCCTTTTTCTCTCCTAGCTTTTCACTTGGAAACTTTACTTTCCCAAGTTCCAGGAAGAGAATATTGAGTCCCTCGGACACACTTCACCAGAGTCACCAACTGTTCCCATTTGGGTTACATTTGCTTCATTTCGCTCTACACACATGAATACAGTTAGTTTTTTATGGAACATTTGAGAGCTAGTTGTAGACGTGATGACATATCACTCCTAAATCTTTCAGCATAAATCTTCGAAGAAAGATGTTAGTTTCTGTTGCTTTTTTTAAAAAAAAAACCCAAAAAACACTGAATTTAAAAAAGGACCAGCCAGCTAGCTCAGTGGGTAAAGGAGCTTGCCACCAGGCCTGGCATCTTGAGTTCAGTCCCCAGGACCCAACTGGTAGAAGAAGTTGTCCTCTGACCTCCACTTACGGGTTGTGGCAGGCAGGTGAGCACAGCTCGGGCATACATACAAATAAATAAAAGTGATTTTAAAGATTAAAGAAAACATCTGGGCAGTGGTAGAGCACGCCTTTACTCCCAGCACTCGGGAGGCAGAGGCAGGCAGAGCTCTGTGAGTTCAAGACCAGCCTGGTCTACAGAATGAGTTCCAGGACAGGCTTCAAAGGTACACAGAGAACCCCTGTCCTGAAAAACAACAACAACAACAAATAATAATAATAATAATCAGCTTCTTACTTGGCTATTGAACAGTGATCACACTTGAAAATTTTCACATCCATACAAGGTTGTCAGGGCTTGTCCTGGATCTTGTTTTTTGTTTTTTCTTTTATAGTTTATTTTTTATTTTGTATTTTATGTACATTGGTGTTCTGCCATATGTCTGCCATATGTCTATGTGAGATCCCTTGAAACACATTTTCTTTTTTTTTCTTTTTCTTTTTGATGTGTTTTGAGACAGGGTTTCTCTGTGTAACAGTCCTGGCTGTTCTGGAACTTGCTTTGTATACCAAAATGGGCTCTAACTAACAGAGATCTGCCTGCCTCTGCCTCCCAAGTGCTGGAATTAAAGACATGCACCACTACCACCCGGCTGGGTTTTCCTTTTTTAAAACATTATTTTTTAAAGTGCGTAAGTATTTTTCCTGGATGTATGTCTGTGCACCACATACATGCAGTGCCTGAGGAGACCAGAAGAGGGCACCAGATCCGTGGAACTGGAATTATGGATAGTTGTGAGCCACCAAGTGAGTGTTAGGAACAACCTGGGTCCTCTGAAAAAGTAGCAAGTGCTCCTAACCAGTGATCCGATCTCCACTCCAGATTTTGGATTTTGGGAACAAGGTCATGCTTAATAGCAATAGAGCACAGGACATGCTTGAACTTGGCTGTGCTGTCTCAGTTGGCTTTGCAGGTGCTGAGATAAGCATGTGCTGCCATAGCCAGCTCTTCTAATACTCCATTAAAAAGACAAAAGTCCTCTGTTTTAGAATGCTTTTCCTGAAACAGGATCTGACATCATCAGAAGCTTCATAGATTCCATGGATATAAATGGCATATTGTACAGTGGTAATGCTGATTTTCTGGTCTTACCTGGGCTCTCCTACTATAAAACGTTGTTAGTGTCGTCTGTTCAGAAAAGTGATGGAACTACTTTTGTTTGTTTTCAAAGAGATTCCAGAGAGTAACATGGTCCCAGGAACTATTTTGGTGACTGAGGAAGAACTTAGTCGATGTATTGAAGATGTATTTAAGGTTGGTAATTCAAGTTGGTTATGTTGCTAGTTAAATGTTCATAATTAGTGTTTGAAGACCTTTTGTTTTTGGAAACTCCTGACTTTGAACAATACCTCCTGCTAGCAACGATCTGCATCTGTAATTTTGCCTTTTAACAAGAATTTCAAGAGTTTGGATGAGTAGAGGCTGCTGGAGAAAGGGCTCAGCTGGTAAAAACATATGCTGTATACTGCTTTTACTGTTCAGTTCCCAGAACCTGTGTCAGTTGGTTCACAACTGCCTAGAATTCCAGTCCCAGGGAATCTAGTACCTCTGAGCTGCTCAGGCACCTGAACATACCCACATACGGAGACACACACATACACATAATTAAAAATAATAAATCTAGCTGGGCAGTAGTGATGCATGCCTTTAATCCCAGCACTTGGGAGGCTGAGGTGGCAGATCTCTGTGAGTTCAAGGCCAGCCTGGTCTACAAGAGCTAGTTCTAGGACAGGCTCAAAAAAAAAAAAAAAAAAAAAAGAAAAGAAAAGAAAAAGAAAAAGAAAAAAAACAAACAGGGAAGGCGGGATGGCTTTTGTTTTAAATTTTACATATGGTGCTAATAAATTTGTAGATATAAAATGTGTGCTTAAAAATTAAAAAATCAGTTGTGCATGGTGGCTCACATCTTTAATTTACCTAGCCCTTTGGAAGCAGAGGCAGCCCAATTTCTGTGAATTCAAGGTCAGCCTGGTCTGCTAAGTGAATTCCAGCCAAGCCAGTGCTACACTGTGATCTCAAACCCACAGCCCCAACCAAACCCAAAAACAAACAACAACAGTGAAGAATGAAGACCCTTTCCACTAGGAAAGTCAGCCATCAGTTTTCTGTAGGTGCTGAGTCTGACCCACACTGCTGTGAAGCAGGGACATTGCAGACGGTAATTGCTCCCTGCAATTTTTGGCAGCCCAGCTGCAGTTGGAAGACAGAGGAAATGTGTATGCTGGAGGAAGATAGTAAACACTGTGTGGAATTTAGCAACAAAGGGAGTGTAATCTTTATTAACATTCTGCTAATACTAAATTATAGAGTAGAGTTTACACGCAGGAAATGAGGAAGACATCTGGAAAGCATGACTTGATCCAGCCACTTGATGGGTAACAAGAGGCTGTTTAGCTTCTAAGAGGCATCTGGGAACATTTCCAGCTGTTTTTTCTCTCCATTCCTTCTGCTCACAGATTTGCTGGATAAAATCCACACAATGTACAGTGCACTCATTTAAAGTGTACAGTTCAGGCTTATGCACCCATGATCACAATGTAATTCTAGAAAATCTTTCCCCGACAGAAGCCATTAGCTAGCATTCCTCACTCTCCACCCACCCTTTGCCCTAGGCAACCACTCTGTAGGTTCACCTAAAGAAAATCACACAGTACGAGCTCTCAGCACGATGTTTTTCCTCTGAGGCAGGATCTCACCTACACGCAGTCCAGGCTAGCCTTGACTTTACTGTGTCTTCTGACACCCTCATCTTGACCAGCCTTTCCTTTCCTTTACCCTTTTGAAAATATAGAATACATTTTTTACAGTAATTTCAGTGTCTTTGTCTTCTAACTCTACTCTCTTTAAAAAATTTGTGTGTGTTTGTGTGTGTGTGTGTGTGTGTATGGGTATTTTGCCTGCACATGTCTGTGTACCACATGCATGCAGTGCCCTTGGAGGCCAGTAGAGGGCATCAGATTCCCTGGGTCTGGAATTAGGACTGTGTTGATTTATGGAGCGGCGGGGCTGCGTCCCCAACACCCCGGCCGCTTGGCTAGCTTATGCCCGAAATAACAACACACAAACTGTATTCATTTAAAGAACTGCTTGGCCCATACTCTAGCCCTTATAGGCTAATTCTCGCACCTGGACTAGCCCATTTCTAATAATGTGTGTAAGCACCCCAAGGTGCGCTTACCGGGAAGATTCTAGCCTACATCCATCTTCATCGCGTGTGCCTCAGAGAGCAGAGCTATCGCGTCTACCCGGGAGAGCTGAGCATGGCGTCTGTGCTCCGGAGAGCAGAGTCTCTCCGGGAGCAGAACAGAGTCTGACCTCACTTCCTCTTCCGCCCAGAATTCTATTCTGTTTACTCCTCCCATCTATGTTCCAAGCTGAGGCCAAGCAGTTGGTTTATTATAACTTAACCAATGAAATCAACAGATTGATATATGACACTCCCACATCACTTCCCCTTTTTCTGTTTAAACAAAAAAAAAAAGGCTTTAACTTAACATCCAAAGCTCTAGAAATGACAGAGACATCTCGCTGCCTGGACAGTCACCCAAAGTTCCTCTGTACCGTTGGGGCATCCATCTTCGGCCTACAGGCCCATAGTTTCCAGCAGACATTTCCACAAAGCAGGAAATTTCAAAGGCAGTCACTATCTGCTTGTCCTGAAGAATGTCTTGCAGACTCTTTCATGAATCAGGAACCCCGAAAGATCATCTCACCTTTAGGCAAGTTCAGCAGTCCTCTCTCTGCGGGTTCTCTGTGTCCAGTTTATGCAATAGTCCAGGCAAGAGCAGTTTCTTGCCCAAATGGCTATCAAACTCCATAAGGATCCTCTTCGATGCCCATCTTCCTCTTGAAGTAGATTGGTGCTGCCAGGAGCAGAGTGTCTCATTGTCATGAAAAGTCCTAAGTTATTAAAACATTTAAAATGCCATATTCTATAATCTTTGAAAAATATGAAGAATGCCTATCTAAAATATATCTATGCACATCTAGAAAATCTTAACTAACATGACTACAAACTTAACTATTATTAATGATTATTCATTAACAACCTATATACATTACAAAATTAACCTTAAATTTAAATCACTAAAGCAAAATCCATATCAATGTAAATTATTCATACCTATATCATCTCCCCCTTTAAATGTAAAAGAACATTTATAAACAATATTTGGGAATATGGGCGCAGTTTTTTCTCTCCAAACTGCTTCCTGCTGAATGGGGGCGTCGTTAATTAGGTCTTTCATGGTATAACCTGTGTGCTAGTTTCATCTCAGTTGGCAGTTGAGCGAAGCAATTTTCTGAAGGTATTCACAGCAACCGTTCAGGAGGGCGTGGTCCATCATACCATATCGGAATAGAAGAAATGAACAGGGTCTCATCCTCTGTGAAAACAAAATAAGAAACTCCTTTCCAAAGTATCATGTCCTTAGATCCAAATTTCAAAGTCAAGGCATCAAAATCTCTACGATGGATTAGTTCAGCAGCATTTATAAACAAATATCTTTTAGCAGCTGTTGCTCCTTCCTCAGCATTCAAACAATTCAAAGAGAGCATAATAGTATACAGTATCAAGATTCTCTGTGTATTTTCCATCTTTGTACGCTTTATTTTAACCTCTATTTCGTTTATTTTTACTTTTATTTTATCTGTATCTCTTTGACCTGGAATAACTCTGTAGACCAGGCTCTCCTTGAACTCTCAGAGATCCGCCTGTCTCTGCCTCCCAGGCATTGGGATTAAAGGTGTTTGCTACCACACCTTGAACTCACAGAGATCTGTTTGTCTCTGCCTTCTAGGCACTGGGATTAAAGGCGTGTGCTACCACACCTTGAAGTCACAGAGGTCAATCTCCCTCTGCCTCCCAAGTGTTGGGATTAAAGGCGTGTACTACCACACACAACTTCTCTTTTTCTTACTTTTTTTTTAAAACTTTTAACTTTTAGCTTGCATATATTTTTAACACACTGTAAATCATTTAAACATTTTCTTTATCTTTGAATCTCTTTACTGTATATCTCTCTTTTTCTGACCACACGAGCCTTTAAATTACTGAGCAATATGAGTAGGATTAAAGCCGTGGCTTTGCCAGCTAGATCCAGTCCATTCCTTAGCTTTCCAGCCTCATGGCTGAGGTACCGGTTGTAGCCATGTTTACTGCCACAACTCTATGGCATTTCAAGGTCCCTGCCAGCAAGCGAGCTTCAGCAGCCTGTGCTTGCAAACCACACGAACCGCCTGCGTAAAAGAGTCAGAGTTTGCCGTGGCAGGACAGCCCAGAAAGCCGGCATTTTTAAACGGCACAGCTTTTTTCCTGCTACAGCTGAAAATCGAAAAGCATGCGTTCAGCTTTTCGTCAACACCATTTAAGTGTTTTGTGGCAGGACCTCTTAATGAGCTGCAGGGTTTTGCAGCTGAAGCTGAGTCAGGAAGCCTCTCTTAGATGAGAGTGCTTGCTTGCTTCTAACAAGCAGAGGAGACCCGAGAAACTGCTGCTACCAAGAAAACATGCTTTACTCTTTCCCAAGCTTTTTCAGGCTTTCTGTGGATTCAGTTGTCCACACGTCTGGGCGCCATCTGTTGAAATAAGAGCGGCGGGGCTGCGTCCCCAACACCCCGGCCGCTTGGCTAGCTTATGCCCGAAATAACAACACACAAACTGTATTCATTTAAAGAACTGCTTGGCCCATACTCTAGCCCTTATAGGCTAATTCTCGCACCTGGACTAGCCCATTTCTAATAATGTGTGTAAGCACCCCAAGGTGCGCTTACCGGGAAGATTCTAGCCTACATCCATCTTCATCGCGTGTGCCTCAGAGAGCAGAGCTATCGCGTCTACCCGGGAGAGCTGAGCATGGCGTCTGTGTTCCGGAGAGCAGAGTCTCTCAGGGAGCCGAACAGAGTCTGACCTCACTTCCTCTTCCGCCCAGAATTCTATTCTGTTTACTCCTCCCATCTATGTTCCAGCCATGAGGCCAAGCAGCTGGTTTATTATAACTTAACCAATGAAATCAACAGATTGATATATGACACTCCCACATCAGGACTGGTTGTGAGTTGCCGTGTGGGTTCCAGGAACTGAACTCAGGTGCTCGTCTCCCTTTGAGTAGTCAGTCTACTTTTGAGGGAATCAACCTCCTTTTGGGGGGGTCAATCCTATTGCCCCCCCCCCCCCCCACACACACACACAGGGTTTCTCTGTGTTGCTTTGGAGACTGTCCTGGAACTCACTCTATAGACCAGGTTGGCCTCCA